CACTTCTTCAGATGCAAGAAGTGAGGTTCTTACCCACGAAAGCTTATGCTCCCAGTACTTCTGTTAGTCTCAAAGGTGCCACAGGACCCTCTGTTGCTTTTTACAGATTCAGACTAACACGGCTACCCCTCTGAGAGATGACATAATGGCTGAAAGTTTACTTTCTTAATTCAGGGCCTGAACTGCTAACCTTTATTCTGACAAATAGTCCTATTAATTTCAGTGGGGCTATTTGCTTAAGTAAAGCTTGTAGAATCAGACCCTCAATTGTTTTGATGGGGTCAGAGGTCTTCTCACCTCAGCTTCCTTCTAAACAGAAGGAAAATCCAACATGGTCCTGATCTTATAAACACTTACACATGTTCTTAACTCTGCTTATGTGAGTAGTTCATTAAAGTCAATGGGACTACTCACATGAATAAAATTAAGAATGTGCGTAAATGTTTGCAAGATCTTGACCTTATACTTTCTGACCTCCTGTTATCTGGAGTATTATGTTTTAATAAAACATATTGTAAAGGACATTGGATTTAATGAAAATCTTTCATCTACATCTTTGGGAGATACTGAAGTAACTGGCTGTTGTGTGCCATGGTAAATTTCATTATGAATATATCAGGAAAATGTTTGTTCTAAAGGTCAACTATTTTCTGAGAAAATAAATTATTCTTTGAAATTGCTTCTGCTCTTAAAACTATTGGTATTACCCTGTAGAAAATAGTAGAACACTTATCTCCCTCTTTATTTTTTAAATGTTTTAGATCATTTTTTGTTTTGGTTAATTTGTTGCATGTAAATGGGATTAATATCATTTAATGAAGTGCCTTTGGGTTAAAAAAAATTAAAAATGCCCTACCTAGGTTACAAAACTTACCTAAAAGTGAAAGCGCTTTTTAAAAAACTTTTATTTATACTGTTTCTTTACTTTTTGCATTTGCTTCAGCTTAAACAATGAAAAAAAACTAGTGAGTTTTACTTCCACATTCTCAGTCACTATGTACATGTTCTGTTGTTGCTAATAATTACCCATATGCGCTTATAGATTGCTTTATAAATAGTGTAAATAGTTTCCAGTGTATAACATTTGGGTGGCTAACAGGCTGTGGTCAGCCCTTGGGTTGGGGTAATGAAAAAGTTTTTTGACTGCTTGTTTTGTTTCTGGAAATTTACTTAGTACTCTTTGCTTCAGATGCGCAACTCTTGTACCATGCACAAAGAAGACCCATGTATCCTGGAGGCTTTTAGAATAAAAAGATAACCCTCACCAAAGCTGTTCCAAACTTCCACTGAAATATTTTACTTAGGTCACTCTTCAAAAGATGAATTTTCAATTCTTTAGCTATAGCTTTCTCCAAAAAGTTAGTGAGAAAATCGCAAATTTTAAGTTACGAAGAAAATTGGCAAGGTGTTTGGCAAAAGTATGTGCCTTTTTTTTTTAAACCAAAATGTTGAATCCATCATCCAGACAGTATACAACAATCTTGAATTGCAAAAGCAATTTTCTTCATCCCCAGCATGGTGAGAGGATTTAAATCAGAAACATTCTTTGCTTGAAGATACTGAAACTTCAATGAAACCACCACGGAGTATCAGATATCTCAGAACTTCAGTCTTTTGAACAAAATAGTCACTAAAATTCTGACTTAAATATCCCTGCACTGGTCAGCAGATGGTTTAAAATTTACAATTCCATTTATAGGCTTCAAGTAACACTTTCTTATAGGTCTATGTATTAAAGATTTATTAGAAAGTATCTAGATGAAGTTTGTAAAACACCACGATTAGAGTGCTGTACTGAGGTCTCGTATCACTAAGACTAGATTATTTTAACAAAATATTCTGCAGTGTATTTAGTAATATACTATGAGGTATTTATTACACACAGGTAAAGTAAATGTACACTTGTCAAAATAAATGCAAAATGTGTTTTATGATGCAGTAGCTCTGATCTTTATCTTATTTGCTCATTCTCAACATTTGGTATTCTGTAATCTCTTCCAATTATAAATGAAAATTAGCAGAGTTCTGCTCAATTTACAGTAGAATTTCTAGAAAAGAAATGTATTTTGGTTTAGTTCAGCCTCAAAATTACTTTTGCCTAGTCTACTTCATGACATGTTTTTTTCTGTTAGCTATAGAGTTTAATAATGTGACTTACATTCCATGAGTTCTAAAATGTCCCAATACTGTAAATACCACCACTTTAAACAAATATTTTCTCTTAGGTTTACATTCACAATTGATTTTTCTGTTAAGGAAATATCGCAACACAAAACCAATGAAAATTTGGTGCATAAAGTATGGGTCTAAGCTTATGAAGTGCTAACGTTATTCAGTTCTTTTGGGGAGAAAGGGTGGAAATAGTGCTTCCTTTAAGTTGTCTTTTGATGAAAATATTATTGGCCTACAGTTCCACTTCTGGATTAGTGGAAAACTCAAATGAACAAGGCAAAGAGCTGCCTTGCTGTACTGGAAGATAGTGTTATTGTCATAGAAGCGTAAGTTGACAGCGTTACCTCACATTTTTAGTCATCTGAAAGGTTAACTGTCCAAAGGACCAATTTTGAAAGAGAAACAGAGCTGTTAATTTCACATAGCCTGGTATCTGAGACTGTAAGAGACATTCAGGTAGAATGTTATTAAAATTTTGCACTTTTTTTAAAGCTGACATGTTGGCACCTCCTCTAAAATATAACCCTAGGTATTTGTTATGATTGCTGCAATGCTGTATTCATCAGACCTTTGTCTTAGCTGACACTTCTCTCCTACATTCATGTTCATCTTCCTGTTGTAATCCTCCCCCTCATGTAAATAGGATCATCAAGGAATCTTTGTGTATATTGGGTATTTCATTAGTTTAATTCACGTGGATTCTTACATGGTGGAATTGTCTTGCTATGCAGTTAGGTTTTATCAATTGGAATTGCTCTTGTTTTACAGAATATTAATTTTCGGCGCTTCAGGTGGAGTTGGTACCTTTGCTATCCAGGTGATGTATTACAATAAGCCCAGTGAGTCTTTTATGAAAGTACTCTATAATCAAGATTTAAGGGAAAGGAGGTGGGGGCTGTTGGTGGTGAATTAGCAAGCTACTGAATGATCTCAGTGCAAGCCCAAAGGTAAGAGAGTTTGAAAATAGTTTGAGATTTATCATTTCCATCTACTGAGTTATTATCTTAGCCTAAGTTAGGAAGGAGTAGGCTTTAGGGGCAGAGAGGTTATGGGTGTAGGAAGTGAATGATTACACTTCAAGGCTTTAGTTACTGGGAAGGAGACTCCAATTTCCATGTGACTTGAAATCTGTTGTGTTTTGATTAGATTTCCTGCCTCCCTCACCCCCAAGTGGAATAAACTGGTATAAATTGATAATGATTTCAACAAACTGCTTTGTTTTCTGATGTAAATTCTCCTTAATGTGTTAATGTTTTTATGTGCATCAAATATAGTGTAGTGGCTTAGAATGCAATTTCCCCTCCCCACTTTTTTAATCTCAATTAAAAGGAGGAGGTGTTTTTTAATGAGCTATTCATCTTGAAACTTGTTCTTAGTACATTTGCATTAAATTTGGGGCTTTTGATTGAAAGCAATGTCCCATTACACTCAAGTGTCTTTGTCTTCAGAGTATAAACAAATACATTTTAGATGATTGTACCACTAAGTGGTTTTTTTCAGATTTCAAAGTTGTAAATAAATGGAGATATACCTATCTCGTAGAACTGGAAGGGACCTCGAAAGGTCATTGAGTCCAGTCCCCTGCCTTCACCAAGTACCGATTTTGCCCCAGATCCCTAAATGGTTTGAACTCACAACCCTGGGTTTAGCAGGCCAATGCTCAAATCACTGAGCTATCCCTCCCCCCCATGTAATAGCCTTTAGAAGAGCATGAGAGAGTTTTCAGTAGTACGCTATCTGCCTGAGCCTTGATAAAGCAGATTGCTAAATGAGTTCAGTAAGAAACGTTGAGCCTGCCACTGAGTAGTTGTGATCGCTACCTGTCATCATGCAGAATAATTCATTCCTGTGTTAGGTTTATGGTTGGCAAATATCAAAGAAGATATTGCAGTGAAGAGTGAGAATAATGTATACAATAGAGGGTAAATTAAATAATTAGCAAAATTCCTTTCTGTTTGAGCAGCTTTGCAGACTATAAACTAACCAGCCACCCTCCCTATGATAAATTAGTGATAGTTTTGCTCTTTGGAGTTTGCAGATAGCCAGATTATTGTTTCTAGTGAGCTGATTTACAACCAAATAGTGTCTTTACACTAGATTTGATACATCTTTTTTATACCTATGGTACACTATAACCATATATATCTATTTACACATATTTATATATTATTATATAGCTTAATGCTTTCAGATTCTTATTAATTGTACATTCTTAGTATGTTAGAAAATGGTGAATGATATATTGCTATTTACTAGATAATTAACTTTTTGCTCATGACTTGTGACAAGCTGCATTAGGATGGTAACTGGAATTTAATTAAACACAGTGGCATGTCTCCGCTCTGGCTCCTACGAGTAGAGGCAGCCGGGGGCTCTGCACGCTGCCCCCACCCCAAGTGCCGCCGCAGCTCCCATTGCCCAGGAACTGTGGCCAGTGGGAGCTGCAGGGGCAGCGCCTGCAGACAGGGCAGCCCGCAGAGCTGCCTGGACGCGCCTCCGTGTAGGAGCCGGAGTGGGGACATGCCACTGCTTCTGGGAGCTGCTTGAGGTAAGCACCGCCCAGAGCCTGCACCCCTGATGCACTGTGCCCCAGCCCTGAACCCCCTCCTGCCCTCCGAACTCCTTGGTCCCAGCCCAAGCACCCTCCTGCACCCCAAACCCCTCAGCCCCACCCCAGAGACTACCCTCACCCAGAGCCCTCCCCCCCCCCGCACCCCAACCCTATGCCCCAGCCCGGAGCCCCCTCCCGCACCCATAACTCTTCATTTCTGCCCCCCCCAGCCCGCACCTCCAGCTGGAGCCATCACCTCCTCCCGCACCCCAACCCCCAATTTCATGAGCATTCATGGCCCATCATACAATTTCCATACGCAAATGTGGCCCTCAGGCCAAAAATTTTGCCCATCCCTGTGTTAGTGAGTTGCCCTACACAGTAACACAGTGCACCTGCTGTGCTCCCTCTCTATTGCAGATGTTTATTTGGATTCTGTTGATAATGCGATGTTGGTCTTCTGAGGTATTTTCACTATTTAAATAATTTTTAAACCTTAGAATTTTTTATGTTTTTATATATAGCTAATGAAAGCTTGGGGTGGTCATGTGACAGCCGTTTGTTCTCAGGATGCCAGTACCCTGGTGAAAAAGCTTGGAGCAGATGATGTGATTGATTACAAATCTGGAGATGTAGCAGAGCAACTGAAAATGTTACCATTGTATGTACTAATGCAGTTAAATATTTATATAGTACAGTAGGGGCATAGGCAGCAAGCAGACTCCCTTGCATGTACCTTTTGGGTTGCTCGAATCCAAAATTAGTCTGGCAGACTCCCTGCCTCTGGGGTTTTGAGCCTTCCTGTTTGCAAAGCCTTACTTTCTAAAGCAAGCTCTCTGCCTCCCCTCCTTTGAATGTGGCTGTGAAATGAGTATCATAAATACAGACTGCTCTGCAGTATTAAGTCAGAAAAAAATAGGTTAAGTCAATGGGGAAGAGTTCACTCATTTAAACACATTTCTATAATGATAATGATTTCCACAACTGTATCAGCTTCCCTCCAAGGATCTCAAAATGCTTACAAACATTAATGAAAGACAAGGTGGATGAGGTAATATCTTTTACTGGACCAACTTCTGTTGGTGAGAGAGACAAGCTTTCAAGCTACACAGAGCTCTGCTTCAGACTTAACTGCTTCGTGCCTCAGTTTCCCTTTCTGTAAAATGAACCGTTGGTGTTGGCATACCTCACACAGGATTTGCAAAGCTTAATTCAGTAATGTTTGCAGTGCTGCTGAAGCAGGCCTGAAGAAGAGCTCTAGGCTCGAAAGCTTGTCTTTCTCACCAATCAAAGTTGCTCCAATAAAAGATATTACCTCACCCACTTTGTCTCTCTAATATCTTGAGACCAACACAGCTATAACAACATTGGAAACATTAATGAATTAAGCTTTACAAGTTTGTGTGAGGTAAGTAAGCACTAATAGTTCATTTTACAGAAAGGGAAACTGAGGCATGGAGCAGTTACGTGACTAAAGTCTGATAGCAAGTGTGCAGGAGAGCTGGGAATAGATTGAGCTTTTCTGGAAGCCTAGTCCAGCTGTCTCAGATAAATAACAAATGTTTCAAGATAAATACATTTATGTTTAAAATGTATTGTTTAGAGTTTGCCTTGGAATTAGTTGTTTGTTAGGAATTCCCACCTTAAGGATTTTTTGCTTGTTTTTTCTTAAAGAATTATTCAAATATAAATTGTGATAATTATATTTGAATCTAAATAGTTTGAATTTCAAACTTTCAAGCAAATATTGCTTGGGAGAAGAATGTGAAGCTCTAGAATATCTTGAAACTATCGTAAGGTGGGTCTACACTTGCAGCAGTATGTAAAGACACAGCACGCCCCGCTAGCACGGGTATAAATAGCATAGGTGAGTAGAATGTCCTACACATCTGAAAAAAGAACAGGAGTACTTGTGGCACCTTAGAGACTAACAAATTTATTAGAGCATAAGCTTTCGTGGACATATATATATATATATATATGCATCCGAAGAAGTGGGCTGTAGTCCACGAAAGCTTATGCTCTAATAAATTTGTTAGTCTCTAAGGTGCCACAAGTACTCCTGTTCTTTTTGCGGATACAGACTAACACGGCTGCTACTCTGAAACCTACACATCTGAATCCTACATGCACAGGCAGTCTTTCCCCTGTCTACACTGCTATTTTTAGCACTGTAGTGTTGTGCTGTCTCCCCATTGTGGGAGGCTTTTCCCGCAGTGAAACGCTCCAGCAGCTCCCCTGCCTCTCCCCTGACAAAGCCTTTTCCTCACTGCAGTGAAAGGCCCCAGCGGAGGGGAGCTACTGGAGTCTTTCCCTGCTGCCTCCCTGCTGTCAGAGCCTTTGAGGACTACACCACAGTGAGTGTGGACACATGTCTTTCACATACCCTATATGCTGCTGCATGTGTAGGCCAATGTAACAAAGTCATAGTGACTCTAAACAATTAGGGTGATGTTCAGTTTAGCTACAGTGAGATTGTTATTTGGCCCTGAGATGGTTGTATCCTGTCTTTAGTGAATGACCAATAACATATAGGTACAATCTCTGTGTACAGTGAGGCTGGGTTATAATTGTCAAAGTCAGACTCAGGACTCACAGTTTGTCAGACCACTCTGTTTATTAGCAAAAGCGCTCTGCTAATACACCCAGATAATGTGAGTGCCATGCAAGGCCCAAACTATCTTATTTATTCAGATAAAAAGGGCGCGAACTTAACAAGATGAAAAAAGGGAGCAGAACTGATAAGTTTACCTGGGGCTAGACACACATATTTTATTTCCTTATTAACTCTTACCGATCTCCTGTTAATGTCCCACCATCAGCTTAAGTGGACCCATTGTTCAATACAATGTTTCTCTTCCTGTCAACTTTATCTCAACATTCCTCATTCCTGCTTAAAGGAACATACAGCATTTCTTTAATCCATTCTACTTTTACAATATAATTCATTCTACTTTCACATAGTGAACTAGGATTTAGTTGAAAGTCTGGGTCTTCCATGCTACATTCCTGTGCACAGATTGTTTCAATGCCTTGCGTCTGTAAATGGACATTTCAGCTATAGTCAATCTCTGCTTAGAATCACCTTTTCTCTCAAATAAACAAATTAATTACAAGACTGTTGGCCTGTTTCTGTATTTTTTCAGTGCAACACCGTGCTTTCCAAACACATTTTTTCCCTGTTTCCAGGTTTGATTTCATCCTAGATAATGTTGGTGGACCCACTGAAAAATGGTCTCCAGATTTCCTCAAGAAATGGTCAGGAGCCACATATGTTACTTTGGTAACACCCTTTCTACTGAATGTGGACAGGCTTGGAGTAGCTGATGGCATGCTACAAACAGGAGTCACGATTGGAACCAAAACTGTAAAGGTACAGTAACAAAATGGATGCTTTAACTCTATGAAATAAGGAGTTTGGATGCAGTTAGTCTCCTGGTACATGTTTTGGGTTTTTTTTGCCTCATTCCTGTGTGCTTAGTTAGGCATGCTCATACTCTCCCAGCTGTTTTTTCCTTTCCTCCACATACAGGGTTGGTGATAGTTGAGTGAGAACTGATATCTGTCTGGCTGATGTGGGAGTGTTTTGGGTGCCTCTGAGTTAAGATTTTTCATTCTACTTTTTTCATAGTAAGTCCTGTTGGTATGTCTACAGTAAATGCAACAGATGAAATCCTGGCCCCATTGAAGTCAATGGGAGTTTTGCTATTGACTTCATTGGGGTCAGGATTTCACCCAACACATTGTTTGCTCCAGTGATGTGCCATCTTCATCCCTAAAGGAGAGAATTCCCACAGGACAGCTAAGAAACACTTTTTTTTTCCTTTTTCCTCTCTTCCGACTCGTGTTTCTGGGTGGTGATATTGTTACCCTAATTTTTCTGTCTTTACTTTTTTAAATAATTTCTTTCTGTCTGAAACAGACAGGTGAACTCTTTATTTTTTTAAAGGCTTGTTTTTTTCCTGAACAGGCAATTCTTGCTCTCCAAAGGAGTGCTGTTTCAGCAGTTGCTGTGGCTGCATATTCGAATGAGACCCCAAGTCTAATACTGACACTTTAAAAGGGAGGCCTCCTGTTCATAATGAAGTGAAGTACGAGCCTGGAAAGAAGGCTGTACACATATTGCTCAGTGCAGCTTTCTGCATGTTTACGTGAGAGGCATTTTGTGTTATGTATCACGTTTCAATTGGATTTGAAAAATCCAGGCCCTGATTCTGTTCTCAAACCAGATTTCCATCATTGGAGTTACTCCGGACTTGTATGATTTGAATGTGAGATCTTCCTGAAATTTTAATCAAAATCCCCTTTTTGATTCATCTCTTTCTCCTAGCAAAATTGGTAGGAGTAGGCCCCTGTTTGTCAGTGTCAGCCTTTAAAATGCAGCTATCTTGTACAAATGACACCACCTTTTTCAGCAGAACCTTTAGTTCTGTCTCTGCATGATGTATCCAAGAGTAAAAGCTGGCCTGCAGAATCTATATTACTGACAATGAAGTTGAGCTAGAAAAAGCTGACTTTACTGTCAGAGCCCAGGTTGACCTTGTAGGACTGCCTATATTTGTGTGTGTGTATAATATAGTTTCCTTTTTATGTATATTTAACATAATTTATGTATTTTAATGAATAATTTACTATACTTACTATAATATATAATATAATTAATTGAACAGTAGTGAATGACATTGGATTGACAGCTTCAAAGATGGAAGGTGGCTGGCTCTTCAAGGAGTGTGATGCGTAGCAGCGACTTTTTTCACATTGCTCCCCTAATGTGAATCAACCCTGCCTCTATGAGTGAGAGAGCGTACAAATAGCTCATTCTCTCTAGGTCTACTCAGTTCTTAGCCACTGATGCAAACACCAAGTGATAGTATGAGTATGCCTGTCTGCTGAGAGCTGGACTGAGACAAACAGCCCACTTCAAATGGGCCACCAACCAGTCATCAGGCAGAAATGATTTTCTGCCATCGCCACCCTGGGCTAGATTTGAACTTATTACATACAGGTGAAAGGCTCTGAATCCCCAGCAGAATTCATTCTGTGTGTGTGTGTGTGTGTGTGTGTGTGTATATGTCAGTCAAAATGAACTTGACTGCTTCTTCTATATATAAAAAGTGTGACTTTGCACAGTTTACATCTTGTATAAGAAACAGTCTTGCTTGTCTGGCTGTGAAGATAAGGCTTTTATCACAACTAGCCAACTCATGCAGTTGGACTCTGATCTTATTGTGACGGCGCAACATCCATGTGCATACATCTAGTCCACGTGCTTCTGTGACATTTAGATGCCAGAAAATATTTACCACATTTTTTTTAAGATACCTTTCTAGGCTCTGACTCTCTTGTTTAAATGTACAGTTCACATTTTGAGTTTCTTTTGTAACTCTTTGTGTGTTTGTGTGATCTGTCCATTTCAGCACCTCTGTAAAGGAATCCATTATCGATGGGCATTTTTCACACCGAGCGGCCAATCTTTGGATGAGATAGCAAAACTGGTTGAATCAGGAAAGGTATGTTAGAATCTGTAGTTTAACCCACTTTATAATTGCTGAAATAAATGCTGCTTTGCCTTAAAAAGTGTATAATTCACAGTTAAGGAATAAAACAGGGGTCGGCAACCTACGGCACATGTGCCAAACATGGCACGCAAGCCAATTTTAAGTGGCACGCTGTCGAGGTCCCAGCCCCACTCAGCCCCCCCACCGCTCTCCCCTGCGGGGGCAAGAGGCAGAAGCTTGGTCCTGCGGCAGCCAAGCTTCCCCCCTCCCCTGCTTCTTCCCCCAGTGTGGTGTTTTCCTGCCCCTCCTCCTCCTGCTCCCTCTCCCTGCGCCGATCAGCTGATCGCCCTTGCGAGGGGGACGAGTGGCAGCGTGCTCCATGCTCCATAGAGGAGGCAGAGAAGAGGTAGGGACGGGACCGTGGGGAAGGCGGTGGAACAGGGTATATCCCTTCCAGCCCACTGCCATGAGCCGCTCAGGGCAGGGGTCTGGGAGCACCCCCACAAGCTGAGCACCCCAGCCCTCTGCCCTGACCCCCCTCCACACATACACCCAGCCTTCTGCCCTGTACCTCCACACCCCTGAACTCCCCCCCACACCCAGCCTTCTGCCCTGACCCCTGAACCCCCACATCCCCCCCAGGCTTCTGCCCTGCACCCCCACACACCCCCAGCCCTCTGCCCTGACCCCTGAACCCCCCACACACACCCAGCCCTCTGCCCTGAACCCCTCACACACAGCCTTCTACCCTGCACCCCTCCACACACCCCCAGCCCTCTGCCCTGACCCCTGAACCTCCCCCAGGTCTGGGGTCCCGGCTGCCGTCCCTTTTGCCAGCCAGCGTCCCGGCCGCAGGCCCCGCTCAGCCCACTGCCAGCCTAGGTGAACAGAACCCCAGGCTGAAAGCGGGGTGAGCAGGCTGGCAGCGTAAGATCAGCATTTTAATTAAATGAAGCTTCTTAAACATTTTGAAAACCTTGTTTACTTTACATACAACAATAGTTTAGTTATATAATATAGACTTATAGAGAGAGACTTTCTAAAAACGTTAAAATGTATTACCGGCACACGAAACCTTAAATTAAAGTGAATAAACGAAGACTCGGCACACCGCTTCTGAAAGGTTGTCTACCCCTGGAATAAAACATTACAAACTGTTCAGTGAGAGGGTTAATTGTTGCTTTTCAACTTTCCCTTCTCGCTTAGTTCTCGCCCAGTGTACAGAATGTAGACATTGGTGTTTCCTACTTTGTTAATAATAGGATTCTCCCCTCTTTTCAGACATAAAATGTATTGGGCTATAGGCAAAACGGGCTACTTTTGGCACTGGAAGTGATTGTTTAGCCTAAACTCTGACAGTGAAAATTAAAAAAGGGTGCTGGGGTAGTAGGGACACCTGGTTGGTTCTTCAGTCAAAATGAACTTGACTGCTTCTTCTATCCATGTACCCAACCACCCCCAGACATGTACAGTGCTAGAATATTTAGGGTATTACCAGTCACAGCTGACATGCATTGACAGAGTGGTGTGGGGAATCTTGAATGTAATTATTTCTCTCTTTAGGAGTATAAAATTCAGTGATACTTTAACATAATTTCATCAAGCTCCATTGTCTCTTAAATTGTCAGTTGTCATGAAGTTTTCCACAGTGGAATCAGAAAAGGGTCATGATGAGGAAGGTGTACTATTACTTTCCTAATTTTCCCAAGTTTAAGAGCTTGTTACAAGTTGTCTGCAAGAGAGGATGGGGAGGCTCCTCCTGACAGTGTAATTCGTCTCCCCTCAATCCACACATGCTGGGAGATGCGGTGCTGTAAGAACTGGCCTTGCGTCTCAGCACCTTTTGGGGACTCCCCCATAGTGGGGAAATCTCCAGCAGAGATGCTATGGACAGTTTCCTACTGCCTTTGTGCTGTTGAAGCAGAACAAGGAAGAGAACCTGCCCCTGTGCACTGTTGATTCTAGAACATGAATCTCCAGGCCATTTCACACTCCTGGGGCTAAAAGATGGGTCCTTTTCTAGAAGTGTGTAGGTAATCAAATTATGTCCCCATTTGGATTTCCTTTCTCTCCACTATATATTTCCCCCTCCTTTGGATGAAGCAACCACTAAACTAAGGTCAGAGATTTTTGCGTGTGGAAGAAAGGGGGATTTCAGACAATACTTGGATAAGAGTCCATGTCGACTCTGCAGTGAAGAAGTACCTGCAGAGTCCATCCCTCTCCAGGCCAAGATCAGTTGGAAAGCTTGCCCGCACCCCGCCTAGCTTTGTATGTTTAGATGCTCTGTGTGGATATGCTTTGACTTTAATTAGCTTTTTGTGCTGGTTGGCTGCAACCCAGAGGTATTGATTTTTGAGAGATGTTGCAAAGACTTTCTGTTAAATAACCCATCTCTGTAGGGTTTTTTGTTCTCTTTTAAAAGAGAAAGAACTCTAGAGCTGCATTTAGCTGTGGCTGTGAATTCTGTTTTATTAAAACCCATCTGTTCCTCTCTTCTCAGATAGTATAGCTTGCTCACTATGTTCATGAAAATACTCAGTGCTTACATTAATACAATTTCCATGAGCAAAGCTAACACAAAATGTACACTCTTTACACAGGTGTTGGACTTTATTTGAATATTCAGATTCACATAAATCATGATTAGACCTGGAACCGTGTAAGCAGATACTTACTCAAATGTGTTGCTCTCTCTCTTGGTTAGTCTGATGCAGCTGTGTATTCTGTGGTTAATCAGCATTGACTTTCAGGGATCTTGTCTTCTGGGGCGGGAAAATACATCTAGATTTACCAAAAATAGCTACAGTAGAATGGGTAAAGGTGGTGAACAAAACAGCTTCCGAACATGGCGTGGTGTTTTGTTTTCTCAGCCCTTCCCCCTAGGAGTGTGCAAACCATGGGGAGGGGAGACATTTCCTTCTGCTTGAAAAAAGCAAACTCAGGTAGAGGGGAAGTATAAATAGGAGATACAGCTGCACAAACAGTTCTCCCTTCTTGTTTGTGTGGGATTTATAACACCAGTCAAATTAAACTAACAGTACAAGTGAGTAACACTGAAGAGTGTGTGACGTAATATAGAACAATTCCACTGCCTGCTACTAGACTAGAGAGTTCTACAAGAGAAGCTGTTCATTAGAGCCTTTCTCTGCATAGTCCAGTGTGTTTAACATGGGGTAAATTAGCTGAATCCAGCCACTCTAACTTGTATTGAGGCGAGCCTGGCCTGGCAAACACAATACGCTTGGGCTGGCTCCAGTCTCTTGTTCCTCCTCATTGTGCTGGAAATGGCTCCAGCTGCTCCTGTTAGTGACGCACAGGCTGTATTTGGTCATTAAACCCCCAAACATAACTGGATTCACTTGGACTTTGCTGTCAGAATTTTATTAATCACATGTGTTACTCTGTCATAACTGCAATTAGACAAGAGCAGTATATTGTTTTAAGACACATAATATGTCTGTTTTAATTCTTTAAAAGATACCAGAAGAGCAGCTAGTGTATATGACGCAAAGACACCCGGTGAATTAGGTATTGTTACCATTTGACAGATGGAGAAACTAAGGCAGAGAGAGAGGTTTGTGACTTATCTAGGGTCTCATAAGAAGTCCTTGGTAAAGCTTTAAATAGAATCCAGAACTTCTCCCTCCCATTCCTGGGTCTTTACCACCAGAGCATGTGTGTTCATATTTGATCATTTTTCATTAGGCATTTCTGACGTTCTAGTTACTTTAAAATCAAGGCGAGAGAAGTCAGACTCTTCGATATATTTTTGTGCACATAATACTCATATTTTCTGGAGATTCTAAGCTTTCATTAAGAAGAAAAACCCTGTTTCTAGCCTTTGGGTTCCAAAGCTACCCTTGAATATGTGACACGAGTAATCACAGCAACTTCAAACAGTGCCTCCAAGAGGTGTGAACTTTCCTCCCCCATTAATCTCACTATGATGTTAAATCTAGAGCCTATTGATGACACTTCTAATGTCAGCATTAACTATTTCATTGCATATCATTTCAGTGGTGAAATGGAGAAGGGGGTGGGAGAGAAGGCCATGGAAAGTGGGACTTGAGAGATGCAGCAGGGAAAGAAATGCAGACATAAGAAAGGAGAGAAACAAAGGCATGGAAGAGGGAGAGAAACAGAAAGGTGATGGGGAAGGAAGAGAAACAAAAGGCAGAAATAGCGGTGTTCCTAAAGGTGAGCCTATTTTCTACTTAGTGACAATAAAGTACCAAACAAAAATGAAATTTAGTTGTAACATCAAAGCCAGTTCAACTAATGATCTTTGTGAAAACTTCTCATTGACATCAGGGGAGATTCACTGTGGATGCAGGGAGGGGAGTATTGAGTCCTACGTTTATACCTTGGCTCATGAACCATAGTTACAAATGAAATTTGGCCCTTTTCACAGAACGAGTGCCTCTGATCTAGGTGGTACTATGCTTTCATGTCTCAAAATTACAGTGTGTTCTTCACTTCAACCCAAAATACATATTGTGTAAAGTTTGTGGATAAATCTGCATATTTATATGCAGTGCATTGTTAGTAGTAAACATTTATATTCATGTCCAAAGACCCTACTCAGGATCAGTGTGCTGGGTGCTGTAGAAACACAGAAAAGAACCAGTGCAATATCATTGCTTTTGAGTTATGGGGTTTGATTCTTCAGTTCTTGCTCAAAGCTCCTAGGGAGTTTCACCTGAGTAAGGACTGCAGGATTTAGGCTCGTCTGTTCACTTCAGAATTGAAAGGGCCAGTGCATCTCTCTTATCAGAGAAATACAGACCGGCAGGGAAGGATTCAGATTGGCCAAAAGTTTGAAAATTATTACTACTGAGTGGACTCCAAATGCGGCGTTTCAGTCATAGCCTGTTGAGTTCAGAGCCGGGTTTGATACATTTCAGACTCTTAACTAACATTAGCAAATAAGTTTCCTCTCTCTCTCCTCCCCCTTTTAAAACATGTAAGGAGCTCAGTGAAGAGCCCAGGGATCCATATCTATAATGTTCTGTGCATTGTTAAGAACGGAGAGCAAGAGAATATTCAAACTCAATCTGTTTTTTCAGATAAACAATTTTGTAGTGGTGGGTGTAATCCCTTCTCTCCCCACCCTTTAGTATTTAATCCTGTTTCCCTGAACAAGTAAGTGTCCACTGGCAGGGGTCTGATGTGTGGCTGTAAATAGACAGTGTTTGCATTATCCAGTTAATCTCCACTTATTATCATGTATTCAGCAAGCAGGGACGCTCCCTCCAGCCCGCCTGCCTGTTCACAGGAAGAGATTTTATCTGAGTCAGTTGATTATAGTAAAGGCCAAATGACTCATTGTGCAGTGATATGGTCAGCCCTTTCAGGGGTATCCAGACAATGGACTAATCAGCAGGCCAGAGAAATTTTTTAATGCTTTAGATTGCCAGGATCATCAATTTAGTATTCATGTCTCTAGAGGGGTCAGTGTTTAACTCAGACCAGAGGTTTCTAACAATGGAGCATATGAGCTGTGAGCATTTGGTGGCAGTGATAGAATGCAAAACACTGCGTATATCAGGTTGGGCTAGGGATTCCTCTGAATCCCCTAGAGCACTATTTTTAAAATGTGCTGTGAACTTTATGTAATATATTGAGAACCTAAGACATAGTGTTATAACCTGATACAAGTAATCACAAGTAGTTCAAAATGTATGTTGGGTCTATGGAGGGTAATAGTCGTTTTTGTTCTGAAATCTTTATATTACCAGTGTTGGTGTCTGGAATTATCCTTATTGTGCCTTTCCTTGTAAATGGCTCTTCTGTGCTTCCACCTGGGGATCATATCTGAGCTCCAACCTTTTCTGATCACTATTCTGATAGCCTCACCCTGCCACAGGCCACGCTCACCCTGGGCTAATCAGTGGTTTTCTCCTGTGTACTGTGCGTTTCTGAACAATCTACCTCTCTTTGTTTTAAACTGAAGTGAAGCTCAGCAAATAGATCTTGTTATTTTAATAAGTTATAGGTCGTTCAGGTTCCTCAAGTCACGCTCTGTACAAACAAGTTAGTGAATTTTCCCTGCTCTTTCCCCCCACTGCTGCTGCTGCTGAAGCAATGGAGGACAGTCAGTGCTGTTGATGCTACATTTCCCTTAAAAAGAAGAACAGGAGTACTTGTGGCACCTTAGAGACTAACAAATTTATTAGAGCA